AGTCAAATACTTGGTGAGAAGCAAAACTATGTTGTGTAATACTAAACGAAATGCTTACCCTACTCAAAATAATTATCTAGCTGTAACTTATGTACATGTAGCATTATTTTCCTGAAGAGAAATACACTACTGCACTGTATAATTACATAAATTAGAATTGAGAGTAAAAGTGGTAAAAGTCGAATACTATCATTATATATGCTTGTCCACAGATGTTTCATTTTCCCCATACATGTTTATTATTTAACACATGTGACTGCTTGTTGCATGATATGGTGATTGCTTGACTGTTCTGTACATGCTATTGTAATTGCTTGATTTAATCAGAACCATTATTACATAGCTACAATGTTATTTTTTACAGGCTGGTACAGTGCTTTGGTTTATATTGACAAGCTTTGTTGTCTACAAATCCGGCATAGTACACCAGTTGACAGAACCCAAAAGTGATGATCCAGCCTCGCTTCCTATACCAAGTACCCTCTCACAACTATCTAAGTCCTTAGAACAACAGTTTGGAAATAGCTTTGTCAGAAAAATGAGTCACATGGATGTACCATCACCAACATCTGGTATAGATACATTACATGACATGGAGCATCAACAGGAGCAACAATTTAATAAAAAACAGTCACGACGATATACACAATCTGATAAGACAATATCCAGTTCTGCTTGGCTTGGTAGTACTGTTGAGTGGTGGAGAAGGTTATCCTATAGGCATTGGCCAGCTTTGTTTGGACATTATAATATTAGTCTTAGCAACAGGTAGGTGCAATGAATTCTATAAATCATTTAAGTTGCATCAGTAACTAACTTTAAACCACGGCTCAGCAATCCCTAGCATTGCACCATTGCATCATGGGAAATATAATTTGCATGGTCCAGCCAGGTGTTTATTTGGTATACTTCTGTTATCAGACAGAGGTGATAATTTCATGTGCTAACATCTTACATAACATCATTATCTGCTTTGAAAATTAATTATTGATATACTTTGTTTAACACCCAAGAAAGCCACACAGTTAATCTCGTATTATTTCCATGATTAATTCAATGCAGTTTTTACCTTGCCATCAAAGATGGAAGGGATAGGTATATTAAGGGGAAAATGTCTGTCGTCGCCATTGTTGTCGTTGTTGTTGTTGTTGTTAATAATTGTTAATGTGTGCACAATAACTTTACTAATTCTATTCCAAACTTCACCAAACTTGGTCACCTTATTCATCAGTATAAAGTCTTCCCTGGGTATGAACAACACATGTCCTGTATGAAAATATCATGCAAAAATTTAGAAAATTTGATAAAATATTTTGACTGTTTCTACTTGACTGATTACTGGTGATACACATTCAAAGGTCACTGATCCCGGTGGGAATATGCATTGTTGTATGTGTTCAATGAAGCAAATAATTTATCTTGTAATAATAATATTGGTAATTTGTATCTCTCAAAGACTGGGTTACAATGCCAACTCATGGAGAGATACAGTCTGATACACATTTGCAAACCTACCAATAAATTCTTAACAGAAAACAAGATGTCAGATAATCGATATAAGCACTCCTATGAATTGGGTGCCAAACTTTTGATCAAGATCTGTCAATAGAAAAACTGTTTAGTCCAAAGTTATCCACAAGAAAAATTGTACTTTAAAATATGTATTCTGTACTTGACAAACAGTTTACTCGACAAAACTTTTGTTGTTGAAGTATATTAATTTTGAAAAATATAAAAAAAAAATGCACTACCATATTGATTTTAAAAATTATAAAATTGTCTGCTGCCTATTATTGAAATGCTTTTTTTCTTAGTAGATTGGTACCATGTGATAACAGGGCAGTGCCATGTAATTATGACATCATTTCGCCATGTCCACATGACAAATTATTCATAGCTTTATGATAGTTATATAGTAACTATACAAACTCTCAATAAGTACCATATCTTCTCTGAGCACATTAGAAACGATTATTTTGCACTAACCTCAGATTACCATTCATTATATAGACAGTTTTGATGTGGAGTACACCAACGTATGCTGTGCATAGAGTATGATCAAATTTGTACATCTGATGATTATCACCATGCAATGCTGTTTTATTTCAGATACATAAGTATGTTGCCTCCACTTCAGTTCTCATTTATAATTGATCCACAAGAAGCAATCGGAATGAGGCACCAAGTTGAAATAAAGCAAGCAAGTAAAATGTTGGCGATAGGCTCACTGCCCTTAACATGATGAAGCAGACACCCGTATGGACATCCTCCCTGAAGGTCCTGATGATGACAATGATGAAGAGGAGATGGAAGATGAATTTAAAAATGTGGATATGTTGTATGCACCAATACACAAGGCCACAGACTGGGACTACTATCTCACAATCCTTCTTGCTGTTGCCAGTGGAACATTCTTCATCATCTTACTCAGTTTTGTATATCGTTGTGTATCCACACGCAATCATGGTAAATGGGGCTACGTGAAACACATGCAGTCTCGTGCTGCTAGATACGTACGTCAGATTACTGAGACTGTACCGATAATGTTACAAGGGCATATACAGGAAGTGGAATGCATGTCTAGTGATGGAGTATTGATAGTCAGTTCATGCCTAGGTGGACAAATAAGAGTTTGGGATCCAAGTAACGGGGAATGTGTCACTGCAATTAGGAGAGCAAGGTAAAAATTACTGACAAAATCTGTGTATGTATTTTATTCAACGGCTATAAACCGACCACCATTGTAAACTAAACTATTTTCTCAATTCCTTTTTATTTGGTTAAGACTGTACCACATTACATTGTTGCAATTAAGAGTACAAACTATCTTATCCCAATCCCATAAAAACATTTATATCAAATATTTGTGGAAGCAAATTAAACTTTAAATTAAATACTGAAAGATAAAGATTAAAAACACATCTATTTTTATTACATGTATTATACATTGTAGTGCCAGCACAAGGTTGAAAAGACTGTACTATGATGTAAATGAAAAACTAGCCACATCACGAGAAGACCTAACTAGGAGTGCAAGTACTAGTAGTAACAGTAGTGGCATCCATGATATGAAACCTCGATCACTATCTGATCCTTCTAGTTTTGCAGCAATCAATCAAAAACTGTTTGAAGATCAGCCATGTTTACGTGGTGCAATTGACACTAATTTTTACAGCACTGCTTGTAACAGACAAAACAAGAAAATTGAACCGGAGCAAAGTGGATATGACTTTGATTGTAAATATTCTGGATATTATAAGGAACATGAGGAAACCATGCTAGCAGCCAAGAGAAACAGATTACATTCCAAAAGTGTTGATTCTTATTTTGCATTAGAAATGCAAGGTAAAAGGAGATCAGATAGCGGGACAGTGTCACCTAATGGTACTTCTTACCATAGCATAGAACATACAGGGTCATCGGATAGTTTAAATTTGGAAGAGGTCTCTCCTGGAATCGAGTTTATAAACCCAAATATGAGGGAACCACAAGATGTTTTTGGTTGCTATGGTGATGTTTCTCCACCACCTATCTGGTGCCTTTGTTGCTATGACAACCTGATTGTAACAGGATGTGGTAATGGGAGAGTAGAGGTATGTTCAATAATAATTTTGTGAGAATTACGTCGCACTGACCGTGAGTGAGGTTAGGTAAGTTACTATTGTGGATTACTAACTATTTGTATGTTTGTTTCTAGGTATGGGATGCTTTAACTGGTTTGTTGATATCTTTATATCATGAAGACAATAAATCCGGTGTTACAGCGTTGTCGGTGTCAGCTCACAGGTATTAATTCAGATTCTATTGACACCTAGTCCTTATTCACTGTTTTTCTGTCAATCACAAATGAGGTTTGTACTTGTATGTGAGTTGGAGACATTTGGTAAGCTGTAGGCTCACTAACAGTATGCTTGGTATATGGTTTACTATCACAAGTTATATGTTAGCTTTACAAAACCACCATATGTGCCTGTTCCATTGATATTTCTATTGCATCATAATATCTGGTATAAGTGAGTATATATATAGAAATGATGGTCTATTTGCCAGTGTATTGGTGCACAATCACCTTTTTGGCACATCGATGAGAGATGAATGACTGCATATACCAGTATGTATGTGCTACATAAGGATTAAATTTATGTATACAGTATGTATGTGCTACAAATAGGATTAAATTTATGTATACC